ATTACTTGGGCATGAAAATAGAGAGAGATAATAAAGGCATTTATTTCCTTAATCAATCGCACTATATCGACCTGCTTCTACAAAAGTTCGGCATGACAGATGCAAAGCCATCAGCTATACCAATGGATCCAGGATACTTAAGATCAAGGAGTGAAGAAGAAAAATTTATGGACAACAATCTCTATCAACAATTAATAGGCGGACTCTTATATATCGCATGTCACACAAGGCCAGATATAAGTGCTACCGTCACAATTCTGAGTCAACACAATAAAGATCCAAACCAAGCAGATTGGATAGAATCAAAGAGAACGCTTCGCTATTTAAAAGGAACGAAGCACCTTTCCCTAATGCTCGGAGATCCATCCGACGAAATAAAACTTTTATATGGATACGCCGATTCAGATTGGGCACAAGACAAATCAAACCGTAAATCCAACAGCGGGAACATTTTTAAGTTCAACGGAAGTCCCATTAGTTGGATGTGTAGAAAGCAAACTTGTGTTGCTCTGTCTTCAACTGAAGCAGAGTATATAGCACTGGCAGATGCTTGTCAAGAGGCAGTATGGTTACGTCGACTCTTATCAGATTTTGGAGAAGAACAGACTCAAGCGACTTTAATATATGAGGACAATCAAGGATGTATAAAATTAGTCGCAAATAATAAATTAAGCAACAGGACAAAGCACATAGACACGAAGTTTCATCACGTAAAGGATTTGACGCAGAAGAAGATCATCGATTTACAATATTGTCCGACTGAAATAATGCTGGCTGACCTATTAACAAAGCCACTTAACAAAATTAAATTGCAAGAGTTACGAATGAAGTGTAACGTAGTCAATGCATCATCGAGGAAGGGTGTTGAATATTAACGATATTGCATGGACTAGATGTAATATATTCAGCAACCCAAAGAGTAATAAAGTAATAAACAACCGAAGGGACAGTTTCTTGACCTGCAAGTACGGAGGGCACCAAGGACCGACCGACCACCCAGTTAGTTAGTTCTTTCCAAGCATTCAAACACGCCGCGTCTACTTTCGATATATTGTATTTCTGTATTAGTCATTTATAACAATTCTTGTTTTATCAATAAACAATTGCAGTTATGTGTTCCAAATAAAACGATTCATTCCACTGAACCACTCCGACAGGTTATGGGCCCAGGATATTTGGAATTCAAAGCAAGTATTAAATATTGATTATAAAAAGAAATCAGTGACAGTTAAAAATGGCTCAAGGCACAAGTGCGCGATATACAGTTGAAAAACTAAACAACGAAAACTACGCAGTATGGTGCTACAAGATGGAAATGCTACTCAAGAAAGAAAAAGTGTGGGAAGTGATTAAATCGAATGCACCGAATCCAGTGAACCAACAATGGAAAGACAACGACGAACAAGCTCTCTCATCTATAGCATTAAACATAGAAGACAATCAGATTTGTCACATTCGTNGGTGAGGTAAAAGATAGATGTGTTATGATACCAGGAAATTCGCAAGATATTGCAAATGATTATTCTAATTTTTTAAAAGAAATTGTTTCACATCAGCTGATAGGGATACCCAATTCATGTAGTCCTAGTAGAATACAGCAGGCTGAGCAATGTATACTTTTAGATTATACAACTGAGGCTGAGATATTAGAATTAAGTAAAAAAATTAAAAATAAGATGAGCAGTGGTGAAGATGGAATCCCTGCAAACATTGTAAAACAGGTCATGTCCTTAATAACCAGACCACTTATGTATATTATTAATAATTCCTTAAAGTATGGTATGTTTCCTGACCAATTAAAATTAGCTGTAATAACCCCAGTGTATAAAAAGGGTGATCCTAAAAATATGTTAAATTATAGGCCTATAAGTTTATTGTCAGCCTTTGCTAAATTATTTGAATTAATAGTTTATTCCAGAATAATGAACCATATGTCATCTGCTCAGTTATTCTCTGAAACCCAACATGGTTTTTTAAAGGGCAGGTCTACGAGTACAGCCATTTATCATTTTAATTATAAAATTGTACAGTGCCTTGAAAATAATGAAGTGCCTCTGGGGCTTTTCCTTGACTTGTCACGAGCATATGATTGTGTAGACCATACTATATTGATAAATAAGTTCAAACAATATGGGATCCGTGGCAGTCTTCTGGATTGGCTTCGGTCATATTTAACGAATCGTAGACAAAAGGTCACTATTACTAAAAGTGGGATAACCTGCTCTTCGATGTATGTACCAATTACAACTGGGGTTCCTCAGGGGAGTATCCTGGGACCGCTGTTGTTTTTGATTTTTGTAAATGATTTGCCACTACACATTGACGGCACAAAGGGTTATTGTGTCCAGTATGCTGATGATACAACCGTTCTTATTTGTGGGTCAAATTTTAGTGATATACGAGAAAAAATTGTATATGTTTACAATAGAATACTTGATTGGTGCAGTAAAAATAAATTAGTTGTAAATCAGGATAAGACAAAAGTTATGTTATTTAAAACAAGACAAAGCAGCTATATATCTCCGGACAGTTTCAAATTAAGTAACACTATGAGCTGCAAAGTGGAAGAAAATATGAAGTTTCTTGGAATACACTTAGATGACACACTTAGTTGGTCCTTTCATATCGAGTGCATTGAAAAAAGGTTGAATAGTGTATGCTATAGTATTAGGGTGTTGACTAAGTATTTGGATCTCAAAACCCTCAAAGTGATTTATTATGAAAATTTTGAGTCTGTATTCCGATATGGAATAATTTTCTTTGGTCAAAGTATCCACATAAATAGGTTGTTCATTTCTCAAAAAAGAACTTTGAGGTGTTTGTTGAGGCTCGCACAAAGTGTGTCTTGCCGTGGAAGATTTAGGTCAAATGGTTTATTAACAGTTTTTGCCGTATATATCCAAGAAATTTTACTTTTCACTTTTAAAAATAAGAATTTATTTAGGGAATGTTTTCAAACTAACTTTTACTATACTAGAAATACAAATTTAATCTTTCCCATACATCATTTAACATTAACTGAGAAGAATGTTCATTATACTTGCATAAAATTCTATAATAAACTCCCTCAAGAGGTGAAAAATACCCAGAGTTTATCCCAGTACAAAAAATATATACACAAAATGTTATTAAATTTGGAACCATACAGTTTAAATGAATATTTACAAAATTAATGTTTGCTTTAACAGTAATGTATCATTGATCATCCATCTATGTTTTCTTTGTTTTGTTATTGTTATATTTTTGACTACTATTTCATCTGATGGTGTAAACTACACTACTGTTTTGTACATTGCACTGTTATTTTGAAATAAAGTTGTGTTATTATTATTATTATTACATGTAATATATTCAGCAACCCAAAGAGTAATAAAGTAATAAACAACCAAAGGGACAGTTTTTGACCTGCAAGTACGGATGGCACCGAGGACCGACCACCCAGTTAGTTAGTTCTTTCCGCGCATTCGAACACGCCGCGCCTACTTTCGATATATTATATTTCTGTATTAGTCATTTATAACAATTCTTGTTTTATCAATAAATAATTGCAGTTATGTGTTCCAAATAAAACGATTCATTCCACTCAACCACTCCGACAATTTTGAAACAAATTATTAATAATTTCAACGGAAGTGCTATTGCTCACACAATAGGGACCTTTGGGCTGTTTACCACAATAAACCTCCATTTGAGATGTATATCCTGAAGCGACAACGAACTCTGAACGCCCAAAGCATTTTGTCAATAGTAGTGTACTTGCCCATAGTATAGTGTTTCTGAAAGTTTCTTACTACATCTTCAAATATTTTCCTCACTGGTGCCAAGTTATCTTCGTTCGTTTTACGTTCATCCCTTGTTCGAATTTCATCCATTCGTAACCATCTCATTAGGAAACGGAATCTATTGTAGCCGGAAACATCTCGATACCCATTCCATCAGAAGACCAAAATTGGTAAATGGATGTCCTACCTCCATGATAGACACCAGCGAGATAGAGCGAATGAAAAAGAGCTCTCATTTCCAGCATATCTGGTGGTCGAACATCGGATTTATCTGTATACTCGTCATATACACTTTTAATGTATATATTTGTATTTTCACTCATGAAGGCATCATTGAAAAACAGTTGCCAACATTCTTTTATAGATGAAACGTGTTTTGCAGGACCAATTACTCCTGGTAGTCTCACGATTAAGTTTATTCCATTTATAGACATCTTTTGTATGATAGTTGCTCATAAAGTTAATTTTTCTCTATTTCCTGTTCGCTATCAGTTTCATGATCGCTAGTTTAATTTGGTTGTGAATCGCCAATGGAATCCTCCGAATCCGAGAAGTTTTCTTCACCTGACTTAACCTCTTCATGCATCCGTTTCAACTTTTCTACTTCTGTTTCATATGGATTCATTGTTCTATCAAACGAAAGATTGAATTACAAAATAAACTGCCAACAAACAAAATATTACAGCAAAGGACGGGTTGAGTCTGGTGGACGGAAATTCGTTGTAGTGTCCGTGTTATTCACTTCATGCTCCACAACTACTGCGGTACATGCATTGTGATGTAGTTTGAAGGTACTGAAGCGGGCAGAATCGTAAGCGGCCCTACCTGGAATTTGACTAAATCTGCTTGGACCTTTACCCATGCACTCCAGGGTTAAGGAAAAAACAAGAAATAAAAAAAAACTTAAACACCCTCTAACTTTTTTGCAACATTTTTCGTTTAAGCAAATTCGGTTAAATCGACACCATTTGGGTTCTAGTTTATACCCTTGAAGTATGTAACATTCGTTAGGTGACACCCTGTATTACATAATGAAATTATGTTGATACTGGTATATTGATTAGGTATATTGGTGTATCGTATTGGTATATTGGTATATCAACACATTGACATCAGGCAATTAGTACCTACTTAATATTTCACAAATATTAAGAATTATTATTATTTACTAGTTTAACGTCTTAAAAACTATTTTATAATTATTTTTCATTTTTACAGGTGTTGGTTTAGCAATTTTGGAGAAAGCTGATGTTATATCACCTATTATTGATAGCAATGGAACACGCACATCTGCTGGTACAGTATCGGCAGGATATCAGAACTTCTTAATTTGTATAGAAATGTTTTGTGCTGCAATTGCTTTAAGATATGCTTTCCCCTATAGAATTTACTCTCAAGGTTGTGTTACAGATTCTCGAGGAAGATCTGTAACTATGCAAAGTATTTCCAGCAGTCTAAAGGCAAGTTGCATTATTTTTTTGGTTTGTTCTATTTTATCTATATTTTATTTTTCATTATCATGCAAACAGCGTTTTTGTATACACTGGCACAAATTTAACAACACAAAACATAGTTAAAACATCTTATTCTTTTTTATTTAACTATCTAAACAAACAAAAAACAGAGGATGTTTATTATTGCAGCATTTACATTCATACAAATTTGTGGTACCCAACTGGTCAACTTTTTTTATGTAAGAGTATAAACAGTCTCAGGTGTAGTAATAGTCCCAGTCAGTATCAGTTTCAAAAAGCCATAATTGGGTGAATCATATATCCACGGAGATTTTTGGCTTTCTGGCTTTCAAATATCACTAGAAATAAAATTTTTTCTATGCGCATAAAAAAAACGTCGGCTTAACTTTTGGCGCCACAATATGTTAAAAAATTCGAAAAATGTCATATTTTTTTTCCTATTTAATTATGTATCTTTTCAAGAGTTGATTTTAGGCGAAAATGGTAGAGGAAAAAAATTTTTGTAATTAAATTTTTTACACGACTAGTTACAAATCAAATGAATCATGAATATTATGGTAAAAATCGAAAAAATCGCAAAAATGGGGTTAAAAAACAATACTTTTTGGGAATTTTTTGGGGTATTTAAATTAGGTATTAGGACCTTTATACTTGGCTCAAGAAAACTTCATTTATGTAGAATTATCACACCAAATTTCATCAAAATCGGTTGATAGATTTTGCATTGAGGGTTGCTTTCGCTGTACAGCAAGAAATAAACGCTCTCTCAACGGTGATAATAAAGAATTTTATTGAAAACTAGTGTACATAAAACTTGTGTATGAAAAGACGTGTTAACGGGGTGAGTGTTCATTGGAGAGTGCCTTGTGGTTGAAGTCGGTCGTATATGGGTACCCGTCTGGTGGCCGGCGCCAGCAGCCCTTCTTGGAACGCTAGTTTGTCCGGCGGCGTCCTGCGGCGCTCTTGACGTTGTGCTTTCAAATCTGGGTCACTTGCAACATGTGTACCCACAGCATAATAATTTTGCAATCCAGATTTTGAAAAAAAATTTGCAAATTTTCAAAATTTTGCACAGCAAAACCCAAGACCTTTAGATACTTCAAAATTTAATCACATATAGAAGGGCTCTCAAGCTTTCAAACTTTTTTTGAAAAATTCGAATCCGTTAATTAGGAGAGCTGTGGCTCTTGTTTAAACATTGGTCGAATTTTTGTACTTGTATAAACAATTAGAATAACTGTGAATATTCAATCAAATCAAATTTTTTAAAGCAGGTTTTAAAAGTTCTTGGAAAGACGTTTCTTTAAAAAAAACAGGTCGATTGATCAATTAGTTACATAGTTATAGCCGATCAAAGTTAACCGTCACTTACACTAAATGTACTGGGACATCCGAGCTAATTTTTCGAAAAATACCTTTGGTATTCCGAATACTTACCAGGTCTAAGATTACAATACTTTTCTTCATTGGCAACCTACTTTAAAACGTGTTTAAAGTTATTTATGCAAGCGAGAAATTCAACAAAATTGTACAGGTGGTGGTGGTGTGGGAAGCAGAAAGCGCGGCCGCTTCGGCCTGCTCGAAATTGAATCGACTATAACTACGTAACTAATTGATCAATCGATCTGTTTTTTTTTTAAAGAAGCTTTTAAAACCTGCTTTAAAAAATTTGATTTGATTGAATATTCACGAAGTTATCCTAATTGTTTATAAGTACAAAAATTCGACCAATGTTTAAACAAGCGCCAGAGCTCTCCTAATTGACGACTTCGAATTTTTCAAAAAAAGTTTGAAAGCTTGAGAGCCCTTCTATATGTGATTAAATTTTTAAGTATTTACGGGCCTTGGTTTTTGCTGTGCAAAATTTTGAAAATTTGCAAATTTTTCTGCAAAATCTATCGAACCGATTTTGATGAAATTTGGTGTGATAATTCTACATAACATGAAGTTTTCTTGAGCCAAGTATAAAGCTCCTATACCTAATTTAAATACTCCAAAAAAATTTCCTAAAAAGTATTGTTTTTTAACCCCATTTTTGCGATTTTTTTAGATTTTTACCATAATAATCATGACTCATTTGATTTGTAACTAGTCATGTTTTGTAAAAAGATGTAATTACAAACATTTTTTTCCTCAACCATTTTCGCCTAAAATCAACTCTTGAAAAGATACATAATTAAATAAGAAGAAAAATATGACATTTTTCGAATTTTTTTAACATATTGTGCCGCCAAAAGTTAAGCCCACGTTTTTTTTTTATGCGCATAGAAAAATTTTCATTTCTAGTGATATTTGAAAGCCAAAATGCCAAAAATCTCCGTGGATATACGATTCACCCAAGCCAAAACAGATACTGCCTGGTCTATAAGTGGTTATTTTGAAAAATATATGTATTATTGAAAACTTCACTTTTAAATTTATTCACAATTGATCCTACAAGAAGTGCAAGTTTACTAAGTCTGTAGTTTCCTACAATGATTTTTAATTTAAAATTGTTGAACTGGTGTTGAGGCGCCGTTATTTTTAACGTTAAACGTGGCCTCGATAACTTGGGACCGAGGGGGACTATACCTCTTTGTTTCTGTAGGTCTGGGCAGTCTCGTGAAGGTGGGCCCCATCCATCGTTTACCCCAACCACAAGCACAGCCAATGTAGGCGCTTTGCGGGATCTCCTCTTGCCCTGGCTAGCCCGGGGAGCCTCTTCTGGCGCTCTTCATGTCTTGATTTTTCTTTCTTCGTCTGCTTGTCTAGCCCCCTGGGAGGGAGGGGGTTGTCATGTCTTGCAGCTTCGTCCATAAATTTTTAGGTGTGTGCACTTATTGTCTGTGTGGCATTAGTGTATTTTAAGTCTCGTAAAATGTGGGTGTTTCTTACGTACGGGGGCGAGGCAGTGGCCGTGCATAAGGCTATGTTTTCCATAGCCTGGAGTTTAATGTGGCTTTTTGCCGCATAACCCAATGCCGCGGAGGAGTAGGTTAGCTGTGGTTGAAATACCACCTTGATTATCGTTCGCTTATTCCTTAAACTTAGGGTTTTGCTCCCTTTGAGTAAAGGATAGAGCTTAGCTCTGGTGGTCCTCGTTCGCGCCACTATCTTCGCGATGTGCGTTTTCCCAGGTATCGCATATGTCGCTCCAAGAGATGGGCTCCTGGGACAGTGTCAGTATATCTAGGTCAGGGGGAATTTTGCATCTAGTAAAGAGTATGGCAGTACTTTTGTCGGGGTTAATTTTGACTTTCCACCTGTTGCACCAGGTTTCAATCAGTTTAAAGCGTTCTGTAAGTGTGTGGTAGCGTGTGTTGTATTTATGTATTGTGCTGTTATGGTCAGGTCGTCGGTGTATAGGTATGTGTTTCTGTTGGGGGTGTGAGGTATGTCGGAGTTGTAAATATTGTAGAGCTGTGGGGATAGGACAGAGCCCTGGGGGACACCGGCCTCCATGGGACGGGTTGTGGAAACGGTGTTTTGGATTTGGATGTGGAATTTTTGGTTGCGGAGGTAAGACTTAGTGAGTTTGACAAAGGAAATGGGGTACTGGTTGGTGAACATTTTTATCAGTAGAAGTAGTATGCGGTCATATAGAAGGCTTTTGCGGCATCCAGGAAGACAGCTCTGGTGAACTGCCTCCTGTTGTAGGCCCCCGTGACATGCTCGGTGAGGTGTAGGATTTGGAGTTCAGTGGAGTGATTAGGGTGGAAGGCGAACTGTTCATCAGGAATGACTCGCAGTTCTTTGGAGTGGGGTTTTAGGCAGGAGAGGATCATTTTTTCTACCACTTCGCTCATAGCCGGTAGTAGGCTCTGAGGCTAGTAGGGCCAGTAGTTGGAAGGTAAGGTATGATCTTTGTTGGGTTTAAGGATGAGGATCATGTTTGCTATTTTCCGGCATGTAGGGAAGTGTCTGAGTCTGGGTTAAGTGTCTTAATATTTGTCGTTTTCGGCGTTTTCCAGAGCCTGTTGTCTTGTGGATCGAGCGACTCCAAATGTCTGGATCAGCTTTCCTGGGCCAGCCCACTCAGGGCCACCTTCACTCGGTTTTTTAGTATGTTTAGGTCGTGTTTATGTTCTTGTGCGAGTGGCATGTCGTTTAAGGTGTCGTCTGTCACGTATGAGTTGTTTAATGTCGTCGGGGAGCACGACCCTAGGATTTGTCAGTCTGGCGACAATTGTCTCTGTCGTAGTTAGTGTTAGTGCATTTTTAATGTTTGTCTCTAATGTAAGGATTGCTGTCTCCAGATCATGGGTGGTTTCAATGATAAGGAGTGGGGTGCTTCTTTGCATTTCTGCTTGGAAGTGCCGCCAGTCAGTAAACCTCCTTGTGAACGTGCCCTCACATCCGATCCCTCGCCTCAAATCCAGCGTATCTGGATTGTAGGCGGTAGACTCCTCATGCTTCTGTGGATATTTGGGCAATCAGCGGGATGGATTTTAAGATAGCTATGTCAAATACATCGGGGAGGCCGATAGGTCCGTAAAAAGTTGGTTCTGTCGGACCGAATATGATTATGTCATTGTCACTTGTCCTCAAACTTGACATAAATATTGCTCTCAGATTTTCTTCATAAACTACTGCATGATGCACCAGATTGTCGGTAGTTTTTGTCTTTTTTTAATCTGTACAATTATATTGTCGACAATATAGATATCTTTAATTGCAGCCTTAATACAAACATAACATAAAAATTTTTTTATCTAAAATGATTACATTCTAGTTGTTTATATATTCCTATGTTATGTTTTAGCTTTTTTTTTATATACAGGGTGTTCCTAAATAAGTGTCGCAACGGAAAACTGTAAATTCCTCTTGAGAAAAGAAACATTTTTTTCCTCTCCCATTTTTCTCTCCGGGCTTTAGTTTTCGAGATACACGGTGTCAAAACTTTATTTTTTTTTTAGTTTTTCGCCAATATCTTGGAAATCATTTGAAGTACAGGACTGAGCTTTTGTACACACATTACCACTATTAATAGCTACTTTTTCGCACCCTTGTCGAATTCATTGAACGTGCCAGTGGTGGAGATTTTAAGGTATTGTAAGGGTTTCCCCCCCCTAAATTTTACGCCACTGGAAAAATTAACTTTTGACAGCAAATTCTAAAGCGCCAATGAATTTTACACAATAAGAGTTCTCTTGGTTCATTGCTCTAAAGTCAACCGTTTTCAAGAAAAATGACTTTTTATGAATAAAAGCAAACATTTTTGCTAACATTCCATGTCAATACTATCGAAAAGTTGACCGATAGAGGTGAAGCCGCAGTGGCAGAAAGAAACATGTTTAGAAGATGTAATGCGTGCATTCAAGCCAACGGACGTAATTTTGAACAGTTTGTGTAAATTTTACTCGCCAAATTGATAAAAAAAAGTTAAAATCATATCTAAATAAAATTAAATTTCGTTAAAATTGTTAATTATTAGTACCTATTTTTTGAATTACAAAAGATTTTCGAAACGTTAGCAAAATGTTTGCTTTTGTTCATAAAAAGTCATTTTTCTTGAAAACGGTTGACTTTAGAGCAATGAACCAAGAGAACTCTTATTGTGTAAAATTCATTGGCGCTTTAGAATTTTTGCTCAAAAATCAATTTTTCCAGTGGCGTAAAATTTAGGGGGGAAAACCCTTACGATACCTTAAAATCTCCACCACGTCCAATGAATTCGAGAAGGGTGCGAAAAAGTAGCTATTAATAGTGGTAATGTGTGTACAAAAGCTCAGTCCTGTAGCTCAAACGATTCCTAAGATATTCGCGAAAAACTAAAAAAAAATTAGTTTTGACACCGTGTATCTCGAAAACGAAAGCACGGAGAGAAAAATGGAAGAGGAAAATAATGTTTCTTTTTTCAAGAGGAATTTGCAGTTTTCCGTTGCGACACTTATTTAGGAACACCCTGTATACTGTACTCAGTTCTCCCATTGTAATTGCGTTTCTTGTATCTGTTGAACAGTGTAACGTAAATAAATAAATAAATATATGGTTTTGGGTACCCGGTAGTAAATGGACCTTGCCCGATCTATTCGAGATGTTTTCAGTTTTCGATTTTGACTGTAAGTAGCCTATGCGGACCGGAAGTTAGTTTTTTTCAAATGAAATAGTATATTTTTTATTGAGGATTTCCATTCTGCACTAAAAAATGTGAAACTTTTGTTTAAAACATTTTTTTTCTAAAATTCGTTTTTTCACCCCGAAATGACCTTTAAAGTTGACTTCATACCGATTCCCGCGAAAGCTCATTCACCTTCGGAAAACGAATTTTCATGAAAAAAATCATGCTTAATATTAAAAATGGTATACATTCTCTCATAGGGTTATTTTCGACTTCCGGTTTTCACTGGAAGTGACCTAATCTGACTGAAAATTCGTTTTTTCAATCGGAAATTGAAAACATCTCAAATCGATTGGGCAAGGTCCATTTACTACAGGGCACCCAAAACCATATAAGTAATTTTACAAAGAAGAATCATTGCTGTATTCTTACAATGCTGCACAAGGGGTAAAAAATTTAACTTTCAGGAGCCGTAGGTTGAAAACAAAGGAGTTTTAGATTTTGTGCTCATTGACACTTTTGATCTATGCATGCGGAACTACCATATAACAAAATTAAAAAAAAAAAATAGCCGATATCTACTTTCCATAAGGATTCTGCGCAATTCTTTGTTAAACCCAAGTCCTAACTCTTGTAGCAAAACAGTTTTATTAATTTAGCAAATAATTTGTAAATTGTAAGTTTTTCATAAACATAACGGCAAATGTTGTCCGACTTATTTTTTACTTTTTAAGTTTTTTAGATTTGTTACGCATCTTGTGAAAAATCAACTCATTTTCAAACGTCTATTAGCTTTTATGTAACAACATAAATGCCTGGAATTAGAATTACTGTCTCGGTCCTAGTAAAATAGATCTGAGTTTTTGAAAACTTGACCCAAAATAAATTACAAGGGGTTAAACTTTTGTTGGAATGCACTATATTGAACAATAAATAATTTTAGTATTTTATTTGTAGGAAACAATGAATCCCAAAGATATTATGACGGATGCCATCCATAATTTCCACCCTCAATATCAACAATACACACAGTACAGTTCAGGTAAAGTAAATTCTGCTGTACATTACAAATTATGGGTAAAAAAAGTTGCATGAAAAAAATATTATTAGGTTGTTTTTTTTTTCTTGATTTTAATACCAGCAAACACAAATGAAAATAAAAAAAATTTTAATTACACAATATTTGCCAGCAATAAAGTTGGCACATTATGGACTCAATTTAATTTAGATACTAATTTTTTAATCACTAAATTTTTTTGCCACACTCGTTAAAAATTTAGGTTAAGAAAAATATTTACATAATAAATAACTTATCATTTCCATTTAATAAATAAATAAATACATATCAGTTGCAGTTGGTGAAAGTTATAGTGTAATTTTTTATAATGAAATTAAAGTAGGGGTAGCGTATCCTGAGAATCCTGAGATGTTGAAAAGTTTTGTACATTTGTAATATATTTTTTCTGTCATCAACAGATAGGAACAAGTTTCTTATTATTCAAATTTTCATTTGCCTCAAATAGACGTGTAAAATATAAAAAGCACCTCATTGTATTTATCGGGTTATTACAAAAAAAAATTGTATATGTTTGTATAATACTTTTCGACACCTTAAAGTACACTGCTCCTATTTTAATTTTTTATTTAGTAAGTTTTATCATGTGCTTTATATTGAATATAAAATATATTCTAAGTAATTCCTTTTTTACCATTACTACATCATCAGGTGAAAAAGAACATTGGGCTATCTGATGAGAGAAATTGTAGGCTCAATGAATCTATCTGTAATAATAAGAGAGATTATCTTAAAGAGTGTGTTATAAGCTCAATGTGTTACAAAAGACTTGGTTAACTGATAGATATTACTAGGGTGGGCCGAATAAATACAATTTTTTTTTTCGATTTGTAATACCACGGAAAAGTTAGAAATTGGGTAGACTAAAAAGCCCAAAAAACAAAAATCGATCTATATCTTCCAGTTGCGCATGTGCTCTAAAGTTTACCAAAATTTGGAAAAACCCACATCTCTACGATAATATTTTTATCTTACCTGTAAATATTTAAAGTAATAGCTCTAGTCTACTCTTACTGGAACAGATAATTATTTAGAAAAAAGAATTATTCAAATAGGTTAAGGTCTTCCGCAACAGCTGAAGTCCGACACCTGAACTTCAAGAAATAGTTGTATTTATTTTGAAGTCATACATTCCAATGCGGTTTAAATTTAAAACAACTGAATCCTTTAAAGAAGGACCAAAATATGTGTACCAATCAATACAATCATCAAGGTACCTACCTGAAGATTTACGCAATATTGTCGACCCTGTGATCGAATAAAATGGCTTTTTCGCTCATCCAGAACATTTAATGTTAGCAATAATACAAGATAATAGAAAACAAATACAAGAGCTAGGACTTTGACGAATTCTAAAGGCGAATACAGTTAAATCAATATTCAATTTAGAGGCTTAAGACTACTCGGAAATAATTAACTGTGATTTATCTTCTCTGCTTATTAAAATAAATCAGTGACGGTGGGAATCCTAATTGGGATAAGATAACATTCAAGACGTTGCCATTCCCGGTTCACACAAAGGCAGTTGAACAATGTGTCAAACTTGTGACAGAAACCTCAGTAAAAGTTTGCGGAGCTGAGTCTAGGGATGGTTTTATCAGAACGACTCTGCTGTCCAGGTTATCAATGTCTAACTTCACCCATAAATCAGATTTCAAAGTACCTTTAGCTAAGAAGAATGAGTGAAAATGGAGTTATTAAATTTTTCAACCTGAGTTTCTCGGACTTACGACGCAAAAACTTGGCATTTTCAACAACAACAAAAATCTATTTGTTTACAAATAATGGTTAAAATAATTTGTTTTTAAACATTTAAACTTGTATCCAATAAATAAAACAAACAAAGGAAATGTAAGTATTAGTATTTTTTTTTCCTTGAACTATGTAACTGTAATCTAGGTACCTATATTTGTAACTATTTTCAAACCTTCATTAACTTTGAAGGTGACCGGTTGATGGATTTAAATAATATTTAAATATTATTTTCTGTGGTTCGAATACATAAGAATTTGAGCTATTACATTCAGGAAAATGCTAATTTAAAAATGTTAAAATTATCGTAGCGATGTGGGTTTTTCCAAATTTTGTTAAACTTTAGAGCACATGCATGACCGGAAGATGTGGACCGATTATTGTTTGTTTTTTTTTGGGGCTTTTTAGTCTCCCCAATTTGCAATTTTTCTAGTACCACTCTGTTGAATCGTGTGTCCTGAACTCTGCTCTTTTGGCCAAGTCTCTCTTACTAGAGATAAATCCATCAAACCTTATATCACTAAAATTGTAAGAAACCATATGTATTAAAATCAGTCAAAATACATTTAAAAACGTCCATCTTCCTGGATTTCTAATTTGACAGATAATCTGTATACAAGTTGAAAAAATAGACAGTATCATCATAATGTACCTGTATGTACTTATAATTTTAATTATCTTATATTGACAATACTAAAAGTGGAATAGGAAATTGAAAGCACTGTAAATATTCAAAAATGATTTATATATGAACATATTTTGTAAATAGGGCTTAAGGTTATATTTATTAGATATCTAAAGGTGTATTCATTCAACAAATTTATATTTAATGTAAAGTAAAAATGCTATAAAAAAACAAAATGAACCGCAAATCTCAAATCCATGTACCACATACACGTTAATTTTCTATTGAAATATGTTAAAATGACTCGATAAACTATATTCAAACCTAACCACACTATGTACAGCGAGTAGCCAAAAAATTAAACAGTAAACAGTAAGGGTATATATGGGTTTCTTGGGGTTTACCATCTAATATAAATAATATTAGCAACTTGCTGTACAGGGTGATTCATTAACAATGGGAAAGTCGAAAGCTGAAGATACTACACGTGAAATGGTGACGATTGGCGCAAACATGCCTTATCTGAAAGTTAATAGTTTCGGAAGTACAGGGTGTTGAAAGTTAAAATTTTAAATCGTTTTTTTGCAATTACTCTGAAAATATGTAGGTTAGAAACTTGAAAATTTGTGAAACTATATTTTTTTAGGCGACGAATAAGATGCGTGTTGTAATTTCAGCATTACTCGTAGAGGGCGCCACCTACGACCAATTTTACCGAAAATTTTGTTGATAACATTTTACCCTGTTTGTCTAACATGAAACTTGATCCAAAACCTAAAAGAGCAATCATTTTTCCATTAATTGTGTATTCTTGTTTCATTTCGATATCTCTACCCGTTTTCGAGGAAAATCGATTTAACGAACACCATGTTTTGATAATACGAGAAATTAAAAGCGAAAAAACCAAGTGTTTCTTCGTGTTATTACAACAATTAACAATAAAACAAATGAAATTCGTAATAATGATTTAAAGTCAGTGTTCGATGAATCCACCGTTGACATTTACACACTTTGCACAACGTTTTCTGAGAGAACTTCGAGTTTGAAACAACATATTGGGATTGCGTTTGACTTCGATGGCAGCGATTTGTATTCTTTGTCACAACTCCTCAAACGAACCAATAGAACGTGAACGTCTTTCCTGTGTTGGCCGTCTCCTAAACTCTTGCCACCTTAATACTAATGTAATGTAATTGTAATACTAATTTTTTAAGCACACAGTCCTGGGAAAAGATGATAGAAGTTAAAATCAGGGACAAGACCGTGAATAAGCTTTTTTAAAATAATTTTTTTTATTTTTGACTTGGAATAATTTTACCTATCCTACCAATGTTCTACATTTTATTATAAATTCAGTAGTGGAAGAAGAACAAAAAGGGAGAGAAGGGGTCAATAAAACAATTTCCTGGTTAAAAAAATGATTGAAGAATTTTGAAAATAAGAAGTTTGCTCTAATAAAACGTTTATCATCCTTTCTGGTAGTACATGATAGCTAATGAAGATTATAACATATCAGTATTATAGCTTAATAATATACAGCTCGAAGAGTCCGTGTCGGCCCCTTTGATATGGCGGTCGAGAACCAAGCGAGACGAAATCGTGCTAACTCTCTCCGGTTAGCGGAATAGTCGGGGCTGGATTAAAAGGATATTTATTATTGAAATAAAATGTTTAGTTTCTATCTGACAGTACCGTAGTAGGTAATTTTAATAATATGAAATATGAATTAGAATATTACGTGGTATGACCTTAAAAGTAGAAAATGGGTATTTTAGATAGGTAATAGGTGTTGTACTTGGAGTTAATACTGATTATTAAAAGAAAACTTGAAAACCTGTTTACTGATGTAATATCTCGAAAACGGTAGATTTTAGAGAAAAGTTGCATATGAACTTTTTTGTTCAGGATACCCCAAGAAGCCTATAAAAATGTATTTCGAGCGAAAAAATCGAAAATTACGAATTTGTTTAAAAAAAATTGTTTAAACAATTTTTGACCATTAGTAACGTCTGGCAAAATGTGCAGATATGTTTCAAGGGTAATTTTTTTAGTAAGATTATGAAAAAAAATCGAATGAGAATCATGTTCCTAGCGGGAGCAACGATACAGCCTGGACTAATACTTATACATATAAAACATACCTACAATATAATATACAAAAAAATATAATAACATAATATATAGTATTAAAAATATAATCATTACAGATTTCTCCATTATTATAAGTTTATTTTTTTAATTTTCCCAAAAATTTTGGTTTATAGTTTATTACATATAATAAATTCTAACCCTTAAATATAACCTAAGTACAAATTCTTTTGGAAAAGAACGACACGGATGACTAAAAGTTAGTCTTTTAATTAATTCAAGAAATGTGCTACAAATGTTATTTTTTGTTGATAATTGTTCAAAATTATCTTGAAATATCTTTTCAATGTTACAAATGAGCTCAACAAAGTTATCGTTTGGCATTTGCAATTGTCCAAATAAGGCTGCGCGACGAAATCAACACTAACCGTTCCCGCCAAGACAGTTGGGGAGCTGTATAAGCTGTATCAGTATCGTTAAGTATGAATAAAAACATGATAAAATGGAATAAAAATAATATTTGAAGAAAACTAAACAATTTAATGAATGGGGCAGGATATGCGCTATGAGGGTTTGGCTACACAATTTTCCCGTCTTAGATGTGATATACATCAAGCGAGATGTACTTGCTCGACATTTTCCGATGAGAAAAGTCACTTATATTTTCTAACATAGCCAACAATGTACACCAAGTAATTAGGTTTGGTTTTAAACTGTTTCATTTTTGTATTTTTGACGTTTCGAGAGGAACTTGAGAAAAAAGATTCAACGTGACGTGAAAACTAACTATTAGTTATTTGAACTGTATTTCAGATGGTCAAATTCTGTAAAACATTTATGCAAAATAATATAAGGTCCTGTATGAAAAATTTATTTATTTTCTTAAATTAAAAATATAAAGTGGAAGCTTAGAGATAAAGATAGATTTGCTGACTGAACACACCATAAATAAGGCATCAGCATAAAAGAAAAAGTTATATTATACTTGAAATGTATTTTTATAAATAACAAACAATCTTTTTTACACAATCAATTTAATTAATTACCACTACATAAGGTATTTTTTTTTATTTTTGATCTTAGTGTATATATGTTGCATGTAATAATTGCTTTTTGCAGACGTCATCTCACAGCAACCATATGAGAGGCTATGATATGTCTAATGCTCCTTAGATCCTGCATGGCCATTTTTGATTCTAGCCTAGCTGTCACCACACCAGTTCTACCACTAACTACACTTCTTTAATATTCTCAGGTTCCATACACTAGGATTTTTCTTTAAATGTACGGAATTGAACATATCTTGAGCAATGTCGATAAACCAAATGGTACAAATTAATATTTCTTAGAAAATTTGTGGTTTAAATTTATATTAAGGATTTTTTGTTGCATTAAAATATTTGATATAGGTAAGCTGAATAACAAAAATTACATGTAATGGTATATTAATTTTTATTGGATATTTAAAAGTAAACTTCAGTAACACTTATATGTGCTGGGAAATGTGGACAATATAGCTGGGTTGAAGAAATTAATAAAATAATATTTCATTAAAGCATATGTCAGACTATAAATTCAGTTGCAACAAAATCATGAACACAATAATAATAATAATAGTATGTTCATGATTACATTATATTATCGTCTTTATATCTTGTTGGTTACTTGCTACTGTAACAACAGTATATAAAATGTAACATTTATCATATATCTTATTCATGGCAGTTACCATTAACGAGACACCCATACAACTTTATGTACAAATAAATAGTAAATATGTATATAACCATGGGTTGAAATGTACTTGCCTTCCACAAGTGTTATTAACTAAAATACATGGCAATATTTAAAAAATAAAATTTTATGCTTAATAGTTGCCGTGTTTTATTTACCTAAGATTTCGGCTAAGCCCTGTTATTCTGTGTGCTGATTGGACAGTTAAGTGAGATAACACTGCCAATATAATATTTAAAAATAAACTGGCTACATACGTATTATTGCACGAAATAGAGGGAGTTATAAAATTCATGAAAATCGGTTGTGATAAATTTTTATAGCGCAATTGCAATTAATTTTCCACAATCGAATTGTATAGTCTGAGATAGGCTTCAAGTGAAAAATACAATTTTTTTTAATGGAATATATATTTCGATAAAACATTAACAAATTATATTAGGTTATTTGGACATTAAACCTATATCCATTGTATCAAAACATGAAAATATACAGGGTGTCCGGTAAGTACCTCCTAATCTCTCGGGAGTGTATAGGGGAGGTCAAAATAAAACTAGTCCTTCCTATAATTTTTTTTCCTAATGTGCCCCCTAACGGAGTTATGGGGGGTCAAAGGGGTACCTAGAAATTAACGTTTAGGGTTATAACTTTGAAACCACCCTGTATATTTTAATAAAATTTTCGTACGTTGTATTACACATGGAGCTCTACGATTTGATGCTAAAATCAACTTTTTGCTATTATCAGGTGTCCAGAAACGGACTGGCCCTATCACAATTTTTCTCAAAATTTTGACAGAAGTAATTTTATCAAACTGAAAATATTATTATTAGGTACTCTGAAGGTTTTTCTTTAAAAATGGTACTCTTTCTTTATTTCGAAAAAATGAATGGTTTGCGAGATAAATCGGTTTTGAAAAAAATTGGTAACAAATACAACAACAATTAAAATTTATTTTTAAATGTTATTTCTAACGGCTTAAAACGAATACCACAATAAAATTGAATTTTTATTCTGTCACGTGCCTTTGACAAGTACTTTAAAATAGTGATGTGAGTGAAAATATATAACAAATTGATATATATCAATTTTTGATATATATCAGCTATTATATATATGTTAATAGTTGATATATATCAATTTTCCCGCCATTTCATCAGTAAAGCCAAATTTCAAACTTAACCTTACATTTTAAAACTAAAAACTTGTGTGGTAGGCTTGGGTTGGACTGTAGTAGCTCTTCGGTACCTGGCATATCTCTGTCAAAAATTACTATAAAAATCTGAAATTTTAGGGTTGTACTATAGATGGGAAGAACGTAATTCCAAGTCACCCCTTCCACCCTAGGGGGTGAGAAGGGGGTGAGGGGTGTTTTTTTTAGATGTACCCTATTCATTTTGCGAGTTTCGGATTCTACGCGTAAAACTACCCCCGAAAGCGCGTTTTTGCCGTATTCGCACAAAAACCAAACCACCACCCTCATATGGACTTTGTCGTTTTTTCGATGACCATCGTTCTTGGGCACATCTCCGTCAAAAATAAATATAGAAATCTGAAATTTTAGGGGTGTACTATAAGTGGGGAGACCTAAGAGTGAACGTGATTTCAATTGGCCCTTTCCACCTTAGTAGGTGCAGAGGGGGTGAGGGGTGGTCTTTTAGACGTACCCGCAAGAACGCGTTTCTGGGGGTAGTTTTACGCGTAGAATCCGAAAATCGCAAAATGAATAGGGTACATCTAAAAAAAACACCCCTCACTCCCTCCTCACCCCCTAGGGTGGAAGGGGTGACTTGAAATTACGTGCGCTCTTAGGTCTCCCCGTCTATAGTACACCCCTAAAATTTCAGATTTTTAAGTACTACTTTAAAGCAGTTTCTTTATTATCATAAGTTTTTGATAATTTTTATTTCAATTTCTATCTTTAATTTTTTTTAAGTACCTGTTGTGATATACAAAGACTAAATTTTCTTGTTCTAGAAATTTCCCATTTTTTATTTGTGGGTTGATAAAACTAAATTGCTAATAAACAGCGTACTTGTTTATAAACAGTCATTGTATCATATTAAGTACGCAACAAAAATTAGAAGTCATTACCATCATAATTATAATGAATTTATTAATTAAAACAACAACCTATTTGAAATAGATTATTACTTTTACTATAAAGTGTCTTAATGTAAATATGATAAAAAAAAATAAAAAATTCCAATCTAAATATGAAAAAAAATAAAGATCACTTGATAACTTTTCTAACAGTTCATATATATGACATGTATTTGGTGTCAAATTAATCAGCAAGGCATTAGCAATATAAAAAAACTAATTTGAGTATAATTTTTTTTTAACAAAATTCATCTGATATATATAATGATATATATTTTGATATTTATCACCCAAAACTAAATAGCATGCTATTTTACATCACTACTTTAAAATCAACAGGGTCTAACAATGAAAACAATAGAAAAGAACTCCATGGAGACAAGAGCAATAATAATTTGTAGATGTATTTTGGTCATAGATGTTGATTTTACAAGAAACGGCATTATTCATTCCCTTAATTCACCACCAGTAAATGTTTATGGTGAATTTGTAGGCTGGCACTAGCGGGAATGATTTTATTGTAAAAAAATAAATTTTAATTGTTGTTGTATTTGTTACCAATTTTTTTCAAAACCGATTTATCTCGCAAACCATTCATTTTTTCGAAATAAATAAAGAGTACCATTTTTAAAGAAAAACCTTCAGAGTACCTAATAATAATATTTTCAGTTTGATAAAATTACTTCTGTCAAAATTTTGAGAAAAATTGTGATAGGGCCAGTCCGTTTCTGGACACCTGATAATAGCAAAAAGTTGATTTTAGCATCAAATCGTAGAGCTCCATGTGTAATACAACGTACGAAAATTTTATTAAAATATACAGGGTGGTTTCAAAGTTATAACCCTAAACGTTAATTTCTAGGTACCCCTTTGACCCCCCATAACTCCGTTAGGGGGCACATTAGGAAAAAAAATTATAGGAAGGACTAGTTTTATTTTGACCTCCCCTATACACTCCCGAGAGATTAGGAGGTACTTACCGGACACCCTGTATACAGGGTGATTCACTATATTTTGACCTCTCCCTTAATTTTTTTGTTTTTAGAGTTACAAAAAAAAATGTGACATACAAAAGTTGTACGGTTTTTTATGTTACCTTTTGTTAATTTAAATGGAACACCCTGTATATTTTACATATTTGGATAGAACATTGCCTGTCTAGCATAGTCATACAGGGTGTCGGGTCCGTCTCTAACAGTAAGCGAGATACTATTAAAAACTATTAAGAAAACAAGATATCTTGTAATTGTTAGACCTCTTTCAGGAATTTCTGCCGATATTTCCAATAACGTAAGGATTTACAGATTTAATTGTAATGTATATGACTTATCGGACATTAATACAGTCCAAAATGCGTATAGGTATTTTAACTAAATCTCATTAATTAGGCCAATGTTATATGTCAGGCCGTGACAGTAACAGGTAATGTCATGACAACATTGTTATTGTTTGACAGTTTGTATTATTATTTAATTAAAATGGGTTACACAGAGGTAAAAAATTGAAATAGTATAAGAATTAAAATAGAGTGTGGCGAAGAGCAACTACTATATACAAAGTTGTTCACTTAAAGTTGGAACACCTACGTATTTGAGATGGCGTTGGCTTATTTCCAAAATTCATTTTTTTATGTGATAGTACTCAAAAAGGCCTACTTTTTGATATTACATTTTTTGACATATGATCTTTTCTACGCCTACTATCATTAAGAAAAAACCCTCAAAAATTAAAAAACATATTAGGCATTATTTTAAGAAAGAAATGAATAGCATCTTCGATTTGATCACACCTTAAAACCCTAAATACAAAGTTTCATTATTATAGCTTTTACAGGGTGTTCACAAAATAGGTGCAAAATTTGAAAAATTTTAGTCATTGCAGAGTGTCTTGTATTAACAGTGGAAAATATTTTCAAGGTATTTTTCCATAATACTACGAATGACTACCACATAAAAAAAAGTATTTTGGAAATTGGCCAACGGCCATATCGTTAAACTACTTAGCAAATGTCGTAAGTCCACTTTTTATTCAGACAGAGATTTTGGTGGCATTTAGCTGGCAGTGCATGAACCTGTCATGCTGAGAAGTCAGATTTTACTTTAGTAGTAAACAGCAAGCGAAAACATCAAAACGCATATGTTGAATGTCCACTGCATTCGATTCAAGGGCAGAAATAGTCATAAGTCCACCAAAATCTCTGTCTAGATAAAAAATGGACTTACGACATTTGCTAAGTAGGTTAACGATATGGAGGTGTTCCTACTTTAAGTGAAACACACTGTATATAATACTTAAATTACAAATATTGCTCGAAATGGCCTCTATTATTTAAAGCACAGCTCATATCTTCTTGAATTATTTAAATAATTCAAATTGTTATCGTTTTACTCATAAATAGATTTTCTAATTTTATTTCTAATCATTTGAATGCTCTTATTAAAATTATTATTAGTTTTGTCCTTTAAAAATGCCCACAAAAATGTTTCTGAGGGTGTTAAATTGTGACTGTTTGGTGGCCATGGAGTGGGTGCATTTTTACCTATCATTTTTCAAGCTTTTATATTTTTATTATTTTTTACATAAAGAGAAATTATTTGACCTGTGTAACCCATTTTTATTAAACAATAATACAAACTGTCAAACAATAACAATATTGTCATGACATTACCTGTCACTGTCACGGCCTACCATATAAAATTGTCAATGGATAATTAGGCCTCTCACGGCCTAATTAGTGAGATTTAGTTAAAATACTTATAAGCATTTTGGACCGTATAAATCTGTAAATCCTTACTTAAGTGGAAAAAAGGCAAAAATGCCTGACAGAGGTCTAGTAATTACAAAATATCTTATTTTTTTAATAAAAAAACCTTTTCGTTTTTTAATAGTATCTTGCTTATTGTTAGAAATCGATCCAACAAACCCTATATGACTAAGTTAACATCCATTCATTTTGTTTGGACTTCATTTGTTTTTTTACCATCATTTTCGAAAACAAAAAAAAATCGTGTAACTTTGGTATGTCACATTTTTTTT